CTTCAGCACACCGCGGGCGGGAGAAATGACGAGATGTCTCCGAGGACGGCGGCCCCGCTACCTGATGTTGTGAGGAGGTGGACAAGCAGTGGCGCAGCGTCAGCGTTTTGTGCTCGCACAGAGCCTTGCAGGAAGACCCGGAGATGACGCCTCTGCTGTAGTGGTCGCACTGACGCAGGAAACAGGAAGACGGCCACAGGAAACGGACAGCGGGTGAAGAAGAGCGCGTTTCTGCTCTCCGGTGGAAAAATTCGGTCCCTATTTTGAAAGCCTTTGCGGGAGTTGAAACGTGACGGTCCTGCCTTCCGAAGGCTTTCCGGTTGCGCGACGTGACGCTCACGTCGACATGCCGGGCGGCTACGCGCAAATCAATAGAAGGAACCGAAGCCGGTCGTGGACTTACGATGACGGCCTGACAGACGTGTCCGCGGCACAGCTCCGAGTAGGAAGCGTACTGCACGTAGAGCACCCAGCTGGCCACCAGGACGCCCAACCACGCCAAGAGCAGGTACTTCACCTTGAAGGAGGGACGGCACACGGATTGACTTTGACTCAAAGTGCGCAGCGTCCGTTTGACGCGCCTTCATCCATCTCGGCTTTTCCGCATAAGGGAGGGAGGTGGGGGGGGGGCAACTCCCAGTTCACTTCAACCCAGAGGCGGGAGGGAACATCCCGGACTGTTGCCAGGCAATCCCGGGGCCCGCAAAGACCAACGTGTGCATTGACGCGTGGATTATTTCAGGTTTACAAGACGGAAAAAAAAACAACAACCCGTGATTGATTGATGGAACCCGAACACATCCACGCAGAGGCGGGCGGGCGTACCTGCAGGCCTTTGGACAGAGGGCAGAAGAGCACCAGATGAAAAAGCCGCCGCAGAGCTCTGGCCATGGCGGCGGAGAAAGCGCAGAGCCCCGACAAGCCGCTCGGCCGCCCCCCTCCGCCGCTCCTTCTCGCTCCGGCGATCACGTCCTCGGCGCGGACGCGGCGGCGGCGCCGCGACGGGGGCGCCGCGCGTCTCGCGAAGCGTGCGGCATCTTCGCCACGCAGCTGCAGAGAACGAACCCCTCCGGCCCAGCACCTTGCCTGACGTCACGTCGCCCCCTTCCTTGCGTCCGAGTCACGTGCAAAACAAGCAAAACACCCCCGCCGGTATCAAAACGAAACACCACTGGGGGAGGGGAAGGAAAACATTTTCAAGACGACGGAAAAAAATAAAAACAAAACAATTGCCGGTGCCTTCTTCTGCATCCTCCCCCAGTCGAGCTCCCCCGCTCCGCCTCTTTCCACTTTCTCGCCCCCCCTTCAAGCCCCGCCTCTTAAAGGGGACGTGCCTCTGCCCTTTGAGCGCAAAGGAAAATGAGGTCATTTGTTTGAATGACCTCATTCAATGAGAGAAATTATTTTTCGTCATCTAACCGGATTATATTTTCATGCAATCTATTTTTTGGAATCATAGTATACATACTTTATTTCATAAAATGGTCATATTTTCCTTTTCCGAATGTTGTTCAAATAGGGCAGCCCGGTGGTCGACCGGTTAGCGCGTCGGCCTCGCGGTGCCGAGGTGCGGCGTTGGGCTCCGGCCTTCCTGTGTGGCATTTGCCTGTTCTCCCCTTGTCTGCGTGGCTTTTCTCCGGGTACTCGCTTTCCTCCCCCATTCCAAACACATGACTGATGCGGAGTGGTGAGCACGTGAGCCTGTTCCAAGGTGTGGCTTTGGATCTCAAATATAAGCCAGACATGGTAGTCTGCGGTGTGCGCGCACCGATTCATCTATTTGCTCTTTTTATTCTGAAACCGATCCTCTGATTATTGACTGACAACAGAATACTTTGCTCGTGAACTTGGCTGAAATGAGTTGAGGAGCTTCGCGTAGTGTTTCTCTGCCAACTTCTGTTGGCCCTGCTAAACATTTTTTTTGGGGTGCTGTCATTGACTCACATAGTCATGTGAGTTGCAGAGGGGCGAACTGAGGGGGTGGGGGGGGGTGTACTGGTTTTTTGTCACATTTTCCTACGGAGCGGAGCGCGGTGCCGAGGTGCGGCGTTGGGCTCCGGCCTTCCTGTGTGGCATTTGCCTGTTCTCCCCTTGTCTGCGTGGCTTTTCTCCGGGTACTCGCTTTCCTCCCCCATTCCAAACACATGACTGATGCGGAGTGGTGAGCACGTGAGCCTGTTCCAAGGTGTGGCTTTGGATCTCAAATATAAGCCAGACATGGTAGTCTGCGGTGTGCGCGCACCGATTCATCTATTTGCTCTTTTTATTCTGAAACCGATCCTCTGATTATTGACTGACAACAGAATACTTTGCTCGTGAACTTGGCTGAAATGAGTTGAGGAGCTTCGCGTAGTGTTTCTCTGCCAACTTCTGTTGGCCCTGCTAAACATTTTTTTTGGGGTGCTGTCATTGACTCACATAGTCATGTGAGTTGCAGAGGGGCGAACTGAGGGGGTGGGGGGGGGGGGTACTGTATTTTTGTCACATTTTCCTACGGAGCGGAGGTCCGGACCACTGAATGAGAGTTCAAACGTTTTGGGCCACGTCACTGTGAGACATTTGACCTCCACTCCGCCTGCCCACAGCGTGACTTCCTCCCGTGACGAGGCGGCGCCGGTGGCAAACGGATGTTGGCGGCACTGCGTCAGGATCAATCGCGCCGCCAGCATCGAGCGGCGCGGCCCGAGGGGCTCGCTCTGCAAATTGCTCACAAGGCCTTTTGAGGCGGTCGTGTCACAGAGGCCGTGATGTCGGACGACAGAAAAATGACCGCAGTCCTGTGATGTCACAAAGCGGGAATCGTCCTCCCACCCCGCCGCCTTGGCCGTTTGTTTGTCGGTATCGTATCGGGGCGATTTTCGGGAGCAACATGCCGTTTCTCTTCCTGGGTTTTGCTCTGGGAGCCGTGGCCACCAAAACGCTGAGGACCGTCGTGGGCGGCCAGCCGCCGTCACCCGCCGGTACTAAAAGCGCCTCCGCCACCGTATGCGTCACACCCGGCGAGGTTCGAGCCTCGGCTGTTGTAAAACGTGCCGCTGTTTTGCCAAACCCAACAGTTCGCGCGGGAAGCGTCGACATGTGGGACGACGAGCCCCTGGCGGGGGCGGCCGACCAAAAGAGAAGCCCGCTGAAGAAGATCTGCCGCTTCGCCAACTACTGCAACAACTGCTGGATGAACTCCACGCTGCAAGCCACGCTGAACCTCAACGTGGTCCGGCGGAAGCTGCCCGAGCGCATCCAGCAGTTCGTGACTTTACTCTCGGAGATGCCGGCGTTCGCCTGCCTCTACCTGAGCGCCCTGGAGAACCCGGGCGTGTGCTTCACGGCGGCGGAGCTTTGCGTGGCGCTGGCCGAGCTCTGCGACCGCGTCCCGGCGCTCATCCTGTACGAGAACAACGACTCTGTGGACCTGCTGGTGCCGCTCTTGTCGTGGTTCGACCGCTGCGGCATCCGCACCGGCATCAAGGTGCGCGACGTCAACCGCTGCCCGCGCTGCCACGTCACCACCTCGTCCGTCTCCAACTTGGGCAACGTCGTCACCTTGCCCAAGCCGCTCAACGGCGAGACGCTGGGCTCGTTGATTAAGCGCGCCACGGGCGGGCGGCGGGGCCGCTGCAAGGCGTGCGGCCACAAAACGGTCCACAAGCAGTTCTGGACCCATCCGGACATTTTGACCTTCTTCGTCAACCGCATCGCCGGCGACGGCTTGGTCAGCCACGACCGCGTCTACTCGCCCGAGCGGCTGGAGATGGACGTGGACGAGAACACCAAGCAGACGTACCGCCTCTCCTCCGTCATCTGCCACGCCGGCGTGGACCGTCATAGCGGACACTTTTGGTCCTACTTGTTTTCGGGCGACGTTACCATCGAGGCTAACGATACTTACCTGTCCTTTACCGACCAGGGTCCGCCCGATAAGGTCTACAACAACGGCACCACCTACCTCTACGAAGTTTAGCGGTGGGATCGAGTCCACGACGGCGTCACGCATCGCGACGACAAGGCGCCGCCATATGACGACGAGTACGTATGAAATGGCGCCACCTCGGGCTGGCTTCGGTCAGCGCCGCGCTTTCATCTGGAGGCAAAAGCAAAACTTCTGCGGTGGTACCGAAAGTGTCCGGGCCCCCACGCGCCAACGGGCGGCGGGCCGAAGAACCTTTCTGCTTTCGAGTCAGAGGCTCGATGGCGGCTGTAATTCTCAGACGGGGTTTTGCTTCCAAGCGGGACACGAGTCCCGCCGATGGCACTCCGGAGTGCCCTGTCAGTTTGCCCAAATTAAAATGTTTTTAAACACTTGGGTTTTGTTGCTGCTCTTTTTTCTCTGCATCTGCAATTCTATCTGTGAGATGTACCCAAGAGAAATGGAACATCCCATTCGACGTACCTGAAAGGCATCTGCCAGATAATGTGTGCAGCGGTACCGTGGAACTTCCATTGAGGCAAGTTAGCGCCGCGGTTCGGTCTTGCCATAAATCCAACAGTGCCAAACGAGTTCGCCTAGTTTGATGTTTTGTCGTGTTTGTTTTCGATGCGGCGCCGACTGCTTTTCATTTCCACCTGTTGCCTGCTTGCACAACCAATCAGCTCCCTCCGGCCACTTGTGTTTTGTCCAGGTGCGCGTCGTTGTCCTGTCAGTCTGCTTGTATTTCACTCTCTGGTTTCTTGCAGTCTTTGTCAGTTCCTTGCTGATGTCATGTAAACCTTGTGCTGTTTGGCTTCATGTCAGGATGATTTTTAATGACTTTGACGCATGCCTTGCCTTTTTTTTTTTTTGGTCGTTGTTGACTTGGTTCATTTCGTATTTTGATCATTCCACCTGCCTCCTTTTGAGTTTTGGGGGTGGGGTAAAAACGAACTACTTGCAGGCGTTTCGGGCTCCCTTTTGCCTCCACGCCACAAAGCGTGACCGTCGCAGCTCTTGATAACGCTTCATATCAAAATCTGCAATCTCGGGGCAGCGTGGAAAGCGCAAGATTTACTCTGGCCGAGTCATTTAGGACGCATCCAAATCCCAACATGACAGGCATTTGAGTCACCTGAAATGACTTGACACCAATGCGTTCGTCGCATGACGTGTCAAGAAAAGAGCAGGGACGCTCCATCCGACGATATGTATACAGTTGGCCCGCAGAGGGCAGCAGAGGGCCGCTGTGTTTTCCAGTTGCGTTTGCATTTCTTTTTTTCTTCAGACGCGCACGTTTGATTCGGCGCCGTTCTTCGCCGCACCCCAAATATGGCCAATGTAAAAATCATCGCGGGATGGCTTCCAGAATGTAAAATGAAGCGCGTTTACGATCGCTCCTCATTGGCGCCCTCAAGGCAGACGCATTGATTCCCCCGCGCCCCCGGTTCACCGCGAATGATTGCAAAAGTGAAGCATTTTTACATTTTAGCCCGCGGTCCACTCGCATATGAATTTTAAAATCGACCGCACACCGCAGCGCCTGTTCAATAGATTCCACCCCCCCCCCAACCCCCAAATGATGTGCCATTGTGCAAGCTCGTCGCATGAGATCTTGTCATGAACATATGACGTGCGGCATTCTGGAAGGTGTTCAAAGTGAACGTATCAGAGCCGAAGTGGACAGTATTGTACCAGATTAAGCCAATGAAGGCTAACACGATACGCTACGCTTGCCGCCGTTCGTGAAAAATGCTTGATTTCGATGTGATCTTGACCTCGCTTCTCGACCCGCTGTCCATCCATGCGCGTTGGTTGTGCAAGAGCGGATTTGTTGTTTAGGTTTTCGTTGGTCCACTGAGTCTTGGTGACTTTTTGACCAGGATGACCCCCGCAGACTGTGCAGTGAAAATTGGAGTGAAAGGTTGGCCATTAAATATGCATGGAACAGCAGGCACTGCTGGCGTTGTGTGTGTGTGTGTGTGTGTGTGTGTGTGTGTGTGTGTGGTGTGTGTGGGGGGGTGGGGGGCGCATTCGTGCACGGTGCAACGAGGGAAATTTGCAGAGGCCTAAACTGAAAAAAAAAACTGAAGGAAGATTTATGCATGGGAACAATGAAGCGGCCGTACTGATTCAAATGAATATGCAAATCTTGTCAAGCGCCATTTTGGAAGTTGATGATAATATCAAAATGGAGCGAATTACATCCTGGAGTGAATGGCCGTATGGTACCATGATAGAAAGCGAAAAGTAACAGCGTGCCATGTTGTCTGTCATTGGAGTGAATCGCGTTGCGCCACGACCGGAATGCAATCGGAGTCGATCCGATCAGAATCCGAGTCTGGCGTCATCCTCGGAACGAATGGCGTCGCTGTTATGATCCGGATCGGAGTGGATCCCGGCTAGCGCAGACAACGGCGAGCAAAAAACGTTTCTCGGCAGGACCGGCAAAGTACAACGAAAAAGGCTGGTGAGAAATCACCCGGAAGAAGCGAAAGCAGCCCAAAATGAGGGACGTCATTCGCTGCTCCGTCAAGGGCAATTGCTAATTGGCTGCCACTGGTAAAGGGGGCGGGAACTGCGGGCTCCTTGGCGTGTTTGGCGCAGAGGCGATGATGCTTTTCCGAATGAAACCGAATCTGCGGCTGCCACTGGTAAAGGGGGCGGGAACTGCGGGCTAGTTGGCTTGTTTGGCGCAGAGGCGATGATGCTTTTTTTCCGAATGAAACCGAATCTGTGCTCTCCCTCCGAGACCACATTTTCTTCGGATTTAAACAAGATCGAACTTGTTCCATCTGAACTTCACAACTTTGCTCATTATTTACACTGCGACGTCGGCTCACTTCCGACAAGTTTTGCCAACGTCCCGACTGACTGTTCGATCCGTTGAGGACAGACAGCGCTGGACTCGCCCGATCGTGACAAGCTGCCACTGAGGACGTCGTTGGAGGAACAAACGTGGCATTCGATGTGGGGATTTTTTCTTTTTTCTTGAGTCGTTTTTGTCTCCCAAGTCCTGCCCCCACCACCAGTTGGAAGCTGCCTCGACGAACAGACGGCAAAGGGGTGAGTACACAACTTGACGCGTGTTGTGAATGGAGTGCCGCCGTTTCCCAGCCTCGGCCGCTGGCGACATTATTGCTCCGCTCAAACCGACCCACAACGGTCCGAGACCTTCAAAACTCGGTCCCGAGTGGGGACATCGGATGAGGTTTTTAGCTTTAGAGTGTTCATCATCATTCACTGATATTGTTGTTGTTGTTGTTTTGTCGATGGGCTTGAACCACTCTTGAGTTTTGATATTGCACTGCGTGGTCGGTCCGCTGTTGTGTGCTATTTATTGCCTTTGGGTAGTTTGGATGACCGGCGAGTTGAAATAAATCGCTCGTTTCAAATGACTTATGCGGTGAGTACACAACTTGACGCGTGTTGTGAATGGAGGCCGCCGTTTCCCAGCCTCGGCCGCTGGCGACATGATTGCTCCGCTCAAACCGGCCCCCAACGGTCCGAGACCTTCAAAACTCGGTCCCGAGTGGGGACATCGGATGAGGTTTTTAGCTTTAGAGTGTTCATCATCATTCACTGATATTGTTGTTGTTGTTTTGTCGATGGGCTTGAACCACTCTTGAGTTTTGATATTGCACTGCGTGGTCGGTCCGCTGTTGTGTGCTATTTATTGCCTTTGGGTAGTTTGGATGACCGGCGAGTTGAAATAAATCGCTCGTTTCAAATGACTTATGCGTCATTGCTAATCTTTTATTTTTGCTTTCTCCCTTTCCTGGTCAATTAGCCTGTCACACGCTCTACTCACCCGGTAGACCTTAAACTTATGTTCATGTCGGCGTTTCCAAGGTTATACGGTATAAGGAAGTGAACTTAGACACTGTTCATAGCGGAATTGAATGCAACGGTCTCGTATCATCTCATGTCAGATTGGAATGGAGTGAATCGGATCCCATTGGCCTCGTCAATGAAATGTTGGGCATGAATCGTAGCGCGCGATACCCTGGACTGAATCGCATCGCGTGTGGAATGCCTTCAAACAATTGTTCATCGGATCAAAGCGCTCTGGGAAGGAATCGCAATCGAATCGTATGACAAGAGTGTCGCGTTGTCATTGGAGGGAATCCCTTTGTATCGTCATCGCGATTGCCGTGTCGGCGGCTTTGGCAGTGGAATGGAAGGGCTGCAGAGTCATCGTTGAACTCGAATCGCAACTGGAGCAGAGCTCCCGTCATCATTTGGAGCCAATGGAATCGCTCGGCGTGTGCCGTGAATGGATGGAATTGCGCTCGGGGCAAATTCCATCAAAAATGGGGTCGTGCGCGTCCTCCCCATACATTCTCACCGTTTCCGCGTCGCCTCCGGCATCTCAACCACAACAAAACAAAAAAGGGAAAGGCTGTGAAAAGTTTGCTTGCCCGGAGCGCCCCGCAGCGAAATCGAAATCAAATCAATCCCGCCGCCGCCGCAACGGCCGGCAAGATTGCCTGCTTGGGTTCGGCTCCAGGTTACTTGGAGAGCTTTCATCCACTTTGTCTCAACCCTGAAAAACCTGACACCTTGTCTTTTGTAGGAGGCTAAAAATATACTTTGGATTGGCTCAATTGTCGTTTTGCAGACTTGTCACCTTTTCTTCTGCACTGCCTACCCGCCCCATCCCCCACCTTTTTTTTTTCCTTTTGGTGCTGGTTGCTAGGAGACGACACTGTAGCGCCTAAAGGTTCTCAGTGCTACTTTAGATTTTTTTTTCCATCATTTTTTTTTATCCAGCTAGAATGTGGATTGAAAAAAAAAAAAAAAAAAACGAATAAGAACCTGGTCGCAAGGCCCGCGGTGTTTTGTGCAGGTTCACAAAATAAAGAGCAGAGAAGAAAAAAAGCTCGAATCTAAGCATTGGTATTGGACAAGCTAAGTCGCCAGCCTTGTGAACGCGTGCCACCGACAGTAACTCGGACTCGGGTTGGTCGCATCAATTCATTCGTTAGCCTCTGGGAGCTTTGCTTAGCCGTTAAGCTAACAACGTCAACAATATCCGTCGGGGGTCATCCAGATGGGAGAAGACTCTCGGTAGATGCCTCGGTGGTGTTTTGGGCTCGGTCGCCGGGGACAAAAATGTCTGGCGGTGATCCAGTTTTTCTCTCATCTCTTGTGACAAGATGAATTGGGACTTGGGGAACAAGCTCAGGTGTCCCGTTGAATCCTCTCGGGATCGGAGAACAAACTCGTAGCAGATGGCATGTTTTTGTAAACATTCAAGACCATTTGAGCCTTCAATGAACGTTTTTGGAAAGACAAAATCAAGTCTATTTCATGAGCCAAATGTACTTGTTTTTTGCCAGCAAAGCTCGGACGTGATTGCGAGTCCGAGGCAGAGCTAGCAAACAATTTGGGGACATCAAGTTTCGAGCCATTTCGGCGCTCGGGGTTTGCCTCAAGACATTAGCGTTCAGCTAACATTGTTGACTCATCCGCTAGCTAACTTGTGCAAGCTAAGCTGGTGTGTGTATTCTGTATACAATAAGCTCTTCTCACTCCGATTTCATCGGGAAACAGACAAAACGATCGCTGCACGGAAGATGTTACTCAGCCACTTTGCTTGCCGTCTTTTGGACATTTCTTCTGTCTCCCGACCCCGGCGCATAATTCTCTTTCGAGTCCGAAAGCATTTTAGGAGCCACCGTGAAGCGCGTCACGCAAGCAAACAATTCAAAATGTTGGAACGCGAGCCAACCCAAGCGGACGTGGCGGCACGTGCAAGCCGGCTTTCGAGCATTCACATCAAACTAGCGTCTCTTTGCCTCCATCGGGCTCCTTTCCGGTCATACGGCAAACGCTGTTAAAATGATGAAAGTGGTTAGCCTCGACTGGGCGGGAAAAGGTGGCTACATAGAGGCACTCAATTGCAAAGTTCCATACAGCTTGTGGCGCTTTGGTTCACGAGCTTGTGTCGCATGAGCCCGTCAGCAGCTTCGGCGGACTCCGCAGACGTTTTGTCTTCCGCGGGGAAGTAAACCAAACGCGACGAGAGAGAGGGGGGGGGGGGGGCTGCGCGAGTCCCTGCATCTTAACATCGCCCCGGGCTAAATTATGGATGCTACGAGGCAGGCCTTCGCGCACGTCGCTTCGCTTTTGCGCTAACAAGCGGCAGTCCGTGTCGACTTTGATCTTTGCTCACGCGTCGGCTCGGATGGTTTCACGGGGCGAACGGAGGGGAGGCCGTCAAAACATGACGACGCTTAACCGGACCGCAGCTGCCGCCAGTGACGGGAAGCGACAAGGGAAAGCGCCGCCGGCCGCTTGAACGACTGTCCATTCTGGACGTTTTTTTGGACTCCGTTTTTCGGAAGAACAATGGTACTCTTTTTGCGGTAATGTCTGCCTGACAATTTGCAGGAGGCAACTAGTTGATTTCACACCGGTTGGTCTCTCCATGAAAACAAAGTCAGACATTTGTTTTTCTTTTTGCGCCCCCTGCGCTGTCGGAGCTGCTGAACAAAAGCAAACCGCAGTCGCGTGTTATGCAAATCGTACACAAGCTGCGACGGAGTCGGTCGATCAAGAAGAGAACACGGCCGGGCAATTTCCTCGGCAAAGCTTCAAGCCACACGAGCTCGTGATTATGATTATTATGATTCTTTTTTTTTGTTGTTGTTTTTGTCATGACCGTATCGCAACCGTTTATCTTCAAAGGCAACGGAACCACTTTTCAATGAGCGCAGCTGCTGCAAATGTGCTCTTGGGAGTTCGAAGAAACACAAAAAGGTTTCAGGTTGTTGCATCTCGTTGGCACGTGAGCGACTACGAGCGAAGTGAACGGCCAACGGACGCCGCGCCAAAAGCTAAAAATAAAACGGGACTGGACGAGCAGAACAAAGAAACAAAAATTCTCATTGGGGACACGGAAAACTTTTAAGAGGACCACAAAAACGACAATCATGCATACCGGGATGGGGAAGAAATGCAAACATTTCATTTTATTTATTTTTGGTAATTTTACAGGTGAAGAGTCTTGTCTTTTGTTTTGTTTTGAGGAAAGAGAGGCAATAGATTTTGTTTTTTGTTCCAAGAATCAAAAGCAACCATTTTAAGATGGGAAAAAAAAAAAAATTCATGAGGAAAAAAGCATTTTTTTAAATCGAAAAGATTTTCTTTTTTGATCAAAGAAAAGGTTTTTCTGAGATTTTTTCCAGGCAAAAAGTTCAAAGAAAAAAGATTATTATTATTATTATTATTATTATTATTTATTTATTTTTTTTTTAAGAGTTGTGTTTTCATTCGCAGAGAAGTCATTCCAAGTAGTTCCGTGATGAGGCTTACACGCAGGCACCGGCACACACTCAAAGCTCATTATCTCTTTGGAGATTTTCACGTCTCCGGCAGCAACAAGAAAAGGAGAAGGAAAAAAAAAAAGCAAATCTTTGTGAAGTCTCTCCTGGGTAAGGGACAAAAAGCAGCGTGCGGGGTTGTG